TCGGCTCAGGTCATGATCCCAGGGTCCTGGGATCGAGCCCCGCGTCGGCTCTCTGCTCAGCAGGGAGCCTGCTTCCCTTCCTCTCTCTGCCTGCCTCTCTGCTACCTGTGATCTCTGTCAAATAAATAAATAAAATCTTAAAAAAAAAATTTATGTATTAGCGAGTATGCACGAGTCAGGGGAGCAGCAGAGGGAGAGGGCCAAGCTGACTCCCCACTGGGCTTGATACCTGACCTGACCTGGCTTGATCCTTGAACCTGACCTCAGGGCTTGATCCCTGAGATCAAGGGCTTGATCCCTTGATCCCTTGAGATCAGGACCTGAGCCGAAATCAAGAGTCAGTCGCCTAATCAGCTGAGCCACCCAGGCTCCCCAGTCATTAGTGCTTTATAAATGAGAAAAGAGAGTCTAAGAGGGTGATTTTCCTTGAAGATTCTGTTTGCTGGGGCACCTGGGTGACTCAGTTGGTTAAGAGACTGACTCCTGATTTTGGCTCAGATTGTGATCTCACAGTGGTGAGACTGAGTCCCGCGTTGGGCTCTGTGCTCAGCGTGGAGTTGGCTTGAGATACTCTCTTTCCCTCTGGACCCAGGCCTCCTGGACCCTGCCGCTGGTGTGTTGTGCAGGCTGCACCACTCTGTGCTGTGCGTTTCCCACTCACCAAGCCTAAAACCAGACTTCCCTGCGATCTCCAGTTCTTGCCTCAGCAGCTCTTCCCAAGGGCCGTAGTATTTCTCACTCTTCTGTATTCCTTGTTCCTCCAACTTCTGCTCTAGTCTGCGCTGCCTTCACTTCTGTATTATATATTCTTACAATAAAGTAAGCTAGAGAGAAGAAAATGTTCTGTGAAAATAAAGAAGATACATTTACAGTACTGTACTGTATTTATTAAAAACCCCCGTATGTATGTTAACCCACACAGTTTAAACCTGTGTTGTTCAAAAGTCAACTGTAGTAGTATATTTTTATTATAAAAAAAAGTTCCAGGGACGCCTGGGTGGCTCAGTGGGTTAAGCGGCTGCCTTCGGCTCAGGTCATGGTCCCGGTGTCCTGGGATCGAGTCCCGCATTGGGCTCCTTGCTCAGGGGGGAGACTGCTTCTCCCTCTGCCTCTGCCTGTCACTCTGTCTGCCTGTGCTCACTCTGAGAAATAAATAAAATCTTTAAAAAAAAAAAAAAAAGTTCCAGTTTGTATGAGGTGAAGAGAATTCTTTTTTTTTTTTTTTTAGATTTATTTATTTATTTGACAAACAGAGATCACAAGTAGGCAGAGAGAGAGAGGGAAGCAGGCTCCCTGCTGAGCAAAGAGCCCGATGCGGGGCTCAGTCCCAGGACCCTGAGATCATGACCTGAGCTGAAGGCAGAGGCTTAACCCACTGAGCCACCCAGGCGCCCCATGAAAAGAATTCTTAATTCTCTTTTCCCCTAGCCTTATCTTCAAAGATAGTCACTAATACTTTTGTATATATCTTTTCAGAAATTGTCCTTCTGTGTGTAAATGCACACGCATGTATATGTGCATACATATCATAAATTCTTAAATAGAATCGTCCTGTAACTGTATATATCTACTTTTTTTTTTTTTTTTAAGATTTTATTTATTTATTGGACAGAGAGACACACAGCGAGAGAGGGACCCAAGCAGGGGGAGTGGGAGAGGGAGAAGCAGGCTCCCCACTGAGCGGGAAGCCAGGGTTCCATCCCAGGACCCTGGGATCATGACCCGAGCCGAAGGCAGATGCTTAACAACTGAGCCACCTAGGCGCCCCTCTTTTCTCTTTTTTAAATAGGATCATTTCTAGGGTTTCCTTATTAAGCATCACACAGCCTTTTGGAGTAAGATACTTTTAACAGGTTAGGAATGTTGACCCTCAGCAATGTTAGCAAATGCTATTTTAGCATGTAGGGAGATTATTCTCAATATATTGTTGAAATAATCTCAGAATGACTTTTTTGTGTTGTATTATTATGTAACAGTTTGTTTATAATATGTATCTATAAAGTCTTTATGCCTTTAATTTAGCAGTTGTACTACTGTGTATATAAAACTAAAATGGGAACCCTACTCTACCCCAACCTTTAAAAAAATAAATCTTTGGAGCACCTGGTTGGATCAGTCGGTTGAGTGTCCGACTCTTCACTCAGGTCGTGATCCCAGGGTGCTGAGATGGAGCCCAGCATGGGGATCTGCAGGGGCCTGGGTCCTGCTTAAGATTGTCTCTCTCCCCCTTCTCTGTGGCATTCTTTCTCTTGTGGGCCTGTTGCGAGGATTAAGATGTGTAGAATGAGTTTACAGTTCTGGTACATCATCAACACCCAGTAAATGTCAGTGTTGCAAAGCTCCACATGTCCTGCAGTTTATTTACAGGAATGTCCTATCTTAGTATCACATGGGGCTGTCAGACACCTGAGGTCCTGATGGAGGCAGATTTGTCACTCAGGTAAAGGCCTCTGAGAATGCCATACTGACTGATCACCAGCCACTAATTTTCTCTCTTTAGGAGGGCCAAGGTTGTCCTACTTTCAAGTCATCCTGGGGTTGCCCGTGTCCAAAGCCCACAGCTGTCCCCTCTGCATGTGTCTGGGAGCTCAGCCAGGGTACTCCCACCGGAGCAGAGGCCACAGGGGAAAAACTATGTATCTTCTGTGTATGTAGACTTAGATCGTTCTTTGGGTTGCATAGCATTCCATTATCTGACCATAATTTAGCCATTGCCTTGTTGGTAGATACGTAGTTTTCTGTTTTTTGCTATGATGTACAATGCTTCAATGAACATTTTTGTATATATGTCTATACATTTATGGAAATTTATTTATGAGATAAATTTTTAGGAGAGTTGAATGTCTTCTAGAGGATAAGTATTCTAAATTTTCTTAATTTTGCTTTCAAGGCTGGTTTCCCCACCGTCAGTCTTCTATTTTGCATATCATCAGAATATTAAAGATTTTGTGTGAGGCCCTCTTCTATCTCTTCTCCTATCTTTCAGTCATCTTGATGATTCCTGTATCTTAAATCTGGTCCAGTCATCTCATATATATTAGATATTTCCTTTTCTATAGCTAAACATTTACAAAACTGAGCTCGTTATCTTCTGTCTATATCTGTTCTTTTACCTATGTTTCTATCCCAATAAATGGTACCACCATCTACTCAGTGCTGAACCAGGAACCTGAAAATTATCTGTGACTCGTCTCTCTTTCCTGAATATCTTGACTCTGACTACTCCTCTTCACCTCTGCTCCTGGATTACCATACAGCCTGCTAAATGACCTTCCCATCCCTAGGCTTGATCTCTGGAAATCTCTCCATAATCAAACTAGACTTACCGTTCTGAAATGCAAATATGACTATATAGTTCCCTGTTTTGTTTTAAACTCTACAGTAGCTTCCCCATTCCTCTGTGTCACAGAGGCTGGCAGTCTGTCACTGAGGCTGGCAATCTGTCACCTGTGGGCCCAGTCCAGTTGGTCTTATTTTGTACAGCCCAAGAACTAAGAAGTTGTTGCATTATAAAGGTTTGTTAACAAAACATACACACACACACACAGCTGACCCCCACACACAGAATATGCAGCAGAGACCATATGTGCCCTGTAAAGCCTAAAAGCCGAAAATACATACTGTTAGGTCCCTTATTTAATTGTTCATTTTTAAAGATTTTATTTATTTAACAGAGTGAGAGAGCACAAACAGGCAGAGCAGCAGAGGGAGAGGGAGAAACAGGCTCCCCACCGAGCAGGGATCCCGATGCGGGGCTCGATTCCAGGACCCTGGGATCATGACCCGCGTCGAAGGCAGTTGCTAAACCAATTGACCCACCCAGGTGCCCCGTTAGGTCCTTTAAGTAAGAAGTTTGAACCCCCTGCCCTGTGGGTCCAGATTCTAACATGACCCACAAAGTCCTGATCTTCCCTCCTTTTTTACCTCCCCAACCTTTTTTGTTCTTCCGTTCCTTTTACTCTGCACCATTGGCAATGAACTTTGTGAGTTCTCCCAAATACCTCTGGGTGGCACGTTTTGATTGGTGTACCTTTAGCTGAGATAAGGGATTTCAGGATGGCTATCAGTTGACCGTCATTTATTGAAAACTTAGTGTTAGGCACTGCTGACACCTTGATAGGTTCCTGCACTTCCAGAGCTTACGTTTTAGTAGGAAAGACAGACATTGAACAAGTAATTAAAAGTGTGATGACTCACTGAAGGAGAAGTAGAGATGCCATGGAAATGCAACTAATTGGGTGGGAAAAAATGAAAATACAAATGATAATGCAAAAATTTTTTTTTAAAGATTTTATTTATTTATTTGACAGAGAGAGATCACAAGCAGGCAGAGAGGCAGGTAGAGAGAGAGGAGGAAGCAGGCTCCCTGCTGAGCAGAGAGCCCGATGCGGGGCTCGATCCCAGGACCCCGAGATCATGACCTGAGCCGAAGGCAGCGGCTTAACCCACTGAGCCACCCAGGCGCCCCTGATAATGCAAAATTTTGATAATAGAATGTGAAAGTTCATATCCCAGGAGAAATACCTTGTGATAGCACATGGCATTGCTAAATAAAAGAGATGGCAATGCCATGTGAATTCAGAGATGGGAGACATTGGTTCTGCAGAGGGGTCCAGAGCAAAGCCTATCGTTGACATTTGGGTAAGTTCTGTAGTAAGAGGTTGGTGTGGGGAGGGAATTCCTTGTGACTGGAGCATGGGTGAAGACCCCCAACTAGTGTTCTAGATTTGGAGGTCATGGATATGAAGGTGACTATTCATGCAAGAGTGCAAGTACCTACTGAGAAAATGCGTGTAGAAAAAGAAGAGTAGAAGTTTGCTTCTGGGACCGAGGACCATGGTAGGGCACAAAAAAAGACATCTGGAAAGGAGCCCTTGGGAAGAGGCCAGGAAAGAACAGGAGCCAGGAAACCTAGAGGAAGAAGCAGACGCTTTGTGTCAAGTGCTGCGGAAAGACCAAGGGAGGTGAAGGTTGTGAAGAGTTACTGGGTCTGGCCGAGAGGAGATTCCTGTTGACCTTAAGTCCGTCGCATGAGCTTGAAGCCAGGCCTTCAGGAAGAAATGGTGAAGGCAACATACATACGCCACTTGCTTGAAGAATTAGAGCAAAAGGGATAAGCACAAATAGTGTTGGAAGGAGACCTAGCAGAACTGACGAATCAAAGTGTGTAATATTATTAAAATCTTTATAAATCATGGAAGAGATGAACATTCATTTGGCCGGATGGGTATAGGACCACAGGGCACATTCACTTAATGTACTCTGAATGGCCGTTACACTGTATTGTTGAGAAGACATCCTCTCCTCTATCAGCTTTCTTTCCTGACTGTTAACTGCTAGAGACATGTTTTCCCCGTTTAGCATGAGGTATGTGTGAATGACTTGTTTGAGTCTACATTCTAAGTGTTTTATTTAATTTCCTATCTCGTTTCTCTGTTAAATAGTTTACCCATTGCCTTTGATTTGCTGGTCATGAAACACAGGTGGAAGAGTTTCTTTCATTGGTCTCTGGTGGCCCTAATACTCTTTCTGGTGAGTTTTATTTTTTGTTTTGTTTTAAACTTGTAATGAAAGCATATTGATAGGAAAGAGAATATGAGAAATTCATTCTCTTTCTCATTTTGAAGTTTATCCTGTTAGCATTGGGAGCATGTTTCCAGAAGAAAACCCTGCAATTGGTATCTATTTTCTGCTCCGTCTTAGGTGCCTGTGGTGGTCATTGATAGCTACTACTATGGGAAGCTGGTAGTTGCACCAGTGAACATCGTCTTGTATAATGTCTTTACTCCTCATGGACCTGATCTTTATGGTAAGGCCTTAGGGAATCTGGGGAAGAGGAAGAGCGAGCTTCCTTTGCCTGAACTTTGAAATTTCAGCTCAGTTGCTTTATTTCCTCAAATACAGCATTTCTTTGCTGCTAATCTTAAAAGTAAATGACGTTCTGATATAGCACAGTGATGATAAGTAGCCACTAAATATTTCTTCTTGATTAATGTGATTCTTTCAAGATTTGAGAGAGAGAGAGAGAGCGCGTGTGCATGCGTACAAGTGAGTGTGGAGAGGGGCAGTAGGAGAGGGAGAGAAAGATCTTAGACTCCTTCCTGAGTGCAGAGCCTGATGCTGGACTTGATCTCAAGATCCTGAGATTATGACCTGAGCTGAAACTGAGAGTTGGACACTTAACTGACTGAGCCCCTTGATTAATGTGATTTCTGTTAGTCCTGCTGTCATTCTCAGTATGCCATGGCTCTTGATGCTACTTTTTTGAATGAAAAGTTACTTTTTTTCTGTTCTCATTAGAAAACCAGTATGGTAGCTAAAATAGGAAAATAAAAACATTTATAATCCCATTATCTCCAGATAAACAAGCTGTTGTTAACACCTTGGAGTATATTCCTCCAGAGGTTTTGTGGACATGGACACATTTGGTATTACTTGTTCTTTTTAAAATTTGCATTCAGTATCAGGCATTAGGGGAGAAAGTTTGGGAAATGTGTAGACAAAGCAGAGCAAGTGGTAGAGTCAGCATGAGAGGGTGGATAGTTTGGCCAGTTTAGGGTTGAGAGGAAAAAAGTGGGATGCCTTTAGTTTGGGGAAGGCAGACTCCATTTTACACCCCCCACCCCCCGACCCAGCCCTGGGCCTGTGTTATTTGGCCTCTAGGGCATTTGAGTTAGTGACAGTTACAGAGGGATGACCTAGAGATCTTCCTGGTCAGATCTGCCATTTTACGAGACTCTTTTCTCATTAAACATTCTATTGCATTAATTTTCAGAAGGTCTTGAAGCATTTTGTGTATGTGATCATCTTGGGGCTCTGCTGTGAATCGGGTTAATATTACCTTTGTGTTCTTACCCGTTTGAGCCATGCCCATCACTTTTCTGTGCCACTTTGCCAACAGAACCAAGAGATTGGATGAGGAGGTTTAAAGTAAGCGTACGAGTGAGATTTAATTGGGCCTGTTGGGATTTGTGGAGTATTGTCATTGTAGAGGGCAGTAGGTAATAGGTCGAAATTGTGTTTTGTTCCATGACTTGAATTCACAAACCTCCTCGTTTAGAGAATAATTGCTAGGTAAAGGAATTTTAATTTTTTAAAAAAGTTTATTTAAGAAATCTCTACACTCCACATGGGGGTCCAGCTCACAACCCCGACATCAGGAGTCACACACTTCTCTGAGTCAGCCAGGAGCTCCCTAAGTGAAGGAATTTTAAAAGGTGTTACATAAAACTGATGAATTGTTGACCATTATATAAAAAACTAATGATGAACTATATGTTGGCTAACTGAACATAATAAAAAATAAAAAATAATAAAAATGATAAAAAAATAATAAAAATGCTCCTTTAGGGCTGACTCAAGATCCCCAAGGGTGAGGAAGAGCTGCAATTTTAAGCTTTTGCCTCTAGATGTCTCCGTTTAGCTACAGAGAGTTTGTATGTTTTTAATTGCCCCTTGTTTTAGTTGCCTTGTAAAATTTTATTTGGTTCTACAAGTCAATAGAAGGAAGACTCCCCTCTTAGACCCAGATTGCACATTATAAATTGATTTACTGGAATCTCTTGGACGCATAATATCCATTATAAATGGGTGAATAAATGATGTTAATTTCAGCTTAATTTTGGGAAACCGACTTTACCTTTAAACGTTACCTTTTAAACATATTGCTATTTTGATTGATCATTTATAAAACTTTGAGACTATATAAAAGCAGTTGCCGAGATAGATGAGGTTTATAAATCTAGTAATCTGCAGGTTGTCTGGGAGAGCAGAAATGACAGAATCAATTCCGATTTATGTTTCTGGTTTAACAGTGGCCAGGTTGGGGATCTTTGTTTTGCGATCCAGCCTAGAAGTGGCCAGTTTTTTCTTGGATGTTGGCATCTGCCATTCATTTTGTCCAGTGTTTGCCTGGGAGGAGTGCCTGGAGCTCTGTTCTGCCTGCTTTGATGAACTTGGGGGTGCTTCAGTTCAGATGTTGCTATTTTGAATGTACAGGAAGTGATCACTTTCCTGGTGATGGAAAAAGCCCTGTTGGGACAGAAGGCATTATCCTACTGGGCATCGGCAGGACTGATGCCATGCTGTAGTCAGTCAGACTTGAGAGGGTTGTACCTTGATGTAGCATTTTTGTGCTTTTATCTCATCTTTGAATTTGACAGTTTTGGGGTGGGGTTGATGTCCATTCTTTTAAAGAATAACTCCTGCAGAGAAAATACTTCCTCCATTTTAGAAGTAAGTGTTGTTTGTGTATTCTAGGTCCTCAATAAAGATTTGTCATGGTGAATAGATGGATGAACGAATTTGGGAGTATCCATCAGATTATGTTATACCCTGATCGCTCTTCTGTCCTACAGCTGTTTTGTTAGACCTGTTGTGGTGTATTAGGTCAGGATTTTTTTGGTACCAAATAAAAACGATAGGGGTAAAAGTACTTTTTAAAGCAGAGTACTTTATAATTGTCACCTGATCATGGGTGAGTCCATTCAGTAAATAGGAAAGACTGGATTTTTATTTTATTTATTTTTTTTAAAGATTTTATTTATTTATTTGACAGACAGACATCACAAGTAGGCAGAGAGGCAGGCAGAGAGAGAGAGAGGAAAGCATGCTCCCTGCTGAGCAGAGAGCCCAATGTGGGGCTTGATCCCAGAACCCTGAGATCATGACCTGTGCCGAAGGCAGACACTTAACCAGCTGAGCCACCCAGGTGCCCCAAGACTGAGTTTTTAATAAACACTTTGATGCTGTACTGTTGTCACACAGTGAGACAGCCTATCTTTTGTCATGGAAACTCCAGCTCTTTAACTTTGCCTACATATTTGGTACTACTTAGCATTATTTTGACTATTTTGGAAGACTGTCCTGCTCCAAGTGCTTCATTAGCTATGGTAGGCACGTTTCTTATCTGAAAATTACAAACGCATCGTGTTGATAGTTTCTGCCTTCGTGTCTGTCTTCTATATAAGCCAGTCATACTTGAGTAGATAGGTAACTGGATTTTAGCTAAAGAAACATTGAATAAATTGTCTTTGAGCATCTGTGTCTTCATAGAATTTGCTGTCCAATAAGGCTGCCGTCACAGGAATAGGTGATTACAGTCCAATGTATTATGTGCTACAGTAGAAAGATGGGGAATCCTAGGAGCAGATCTATCTGGTGGTGCAAGAAGACTTCTCAGAGGTGGTGGTCCTTGAGCTGAGCCTGGAAGGGAGAGTAAAAGTTTAGTGAGTAGATGCTAGAGGAGTGTATTTTAGACGACTGCAGTGTCCAGTTGGAGGTTCTGCTGAGACAAAAAAAAAAAAAAAAAAAAAAAAAAAAAAATTAAACATTGGATTCTTTTTTTTTTTTTTTTTTTTTTTAAAGTTAAACTAGTTTTACAGTGTTGGCTGATTTTAGGTAGAAACTACACAGGCGTGAACAAGGTAAATTCATTCTCTCTGTTGTGACTATAATATAAACATTTACTCTGTTGTTCCTGGTTTTCAAAGGGACCTTTTGATACTTTCTTGGCCAGAAAGCATTTATTAATGACACAGTCCAGATCTGAGCTGACTCTTGGGAAGCCAGGAGAAAGAGAAGGAGTACATTTTTCACGACTATTAATTACAATAGTTTCTGTTTAGAAAAAAAAAAATGCCTGTTATATACCAGAAATTCTACACAACTGTCTTCTTCCCCTCACAAAATCTGTGAGATAGGCGATATTTATTCTTACTCGCAGCTGTGGAAACCAAGGTGGGGATGGTGGGGGACTTGCACATAATTAATAAGTGGCAGAAATGGGATAAGAGCCCAGGGCTGTCTGACTCCAAAGCCTGTGTTCTTTCCACTGAGAACAACCTCAGCAAAACCCCAGAGTTTGGCAATTGAGATTCTACAGGAGAATAAACTTGCTGAAACAGAGCATGAGTTGGAGGTAGTAGAAGATAAGCTTTGATCTAAAGAAGGGGCAGGAAGTAGATGTACCTTGGAAGGTCCCGTGCACTTAGGCTCGGAGGATGGTCAGGAGCCTTTGAGAAGTTTCAATGGCACGACGCCACGCATACTGGCAGGCTGTCTTTCACAGGACGGGCATTGCGCCACGCTTGTCAAAGAAGGAATATTTGGACAAGGTAAAGAATACTTGGCATTTAGGAAATTTCATGTAGGCATAAAATTGCAAAGTCATAGGCAAAACATCTCTTTGGTGTCAAAGATCAAGACGTGAAATTTCGTGTTGCAAAAATGTGACTGGTCATGGCACTGATTTTGCTTTTACCCTTGTAACACTTCAAGTTTGTAGATGTTGAGGTTGATACGCATTTTTGTGTGGTGAGTGAAGAACCGTGTTCTCTGTGGAAGAGTTCACAGGCCTGGGGAAGCGTGGGAGGATAGGTATGAGAAAGGCCCTTCCCTCAGACGATGCAGGGGGTCTGCTCCAGGATGCCACCTTGCAGCTTAGGAACCGATCCCTGCCTCTTCCGGTGGGTGTTTTTATTCACACCTGTCAGATAGCTGGACGGGACATTTTGGAAGGCAAAGGCTAATGGCCTTGATGAAAAGACTCAAAGTTTCTCATCCTTGCAATGGCAGAGGATGAAGCCCCCGTGAGTCTCTTGAGAGTTGACTGTCAGCCAGAGCTGTCCTAGAGCTTTCATTCTTTCACTAATTGTTTTTGGTGAACCTTGGTCTCTTTTCGCTCTTGGTGTTGCAAATTTGACTTTTATAAGATGATTTACTATAATTTCGTTCTTGCAGTTCTGTAAAATTATAGGTTTATAAAATGGTTTCCTTTCATTCAATCTGGGGAACGGTAAACATTATCCATTCTTCTTTTAGCCTCTTTGAAGGTTCCCTTTAGCTCATTTGAATGGAAGGACTTGAAGCACTTTCCCTAAAGAGGGAGATGGGTGAGTCATTCCCTGCAGAGACCCTGCTTCCAGCTTTCTTTGACTGCACACTTTGCACCAGTTAAATGCGTAGCTTGTCATGCTGACGCATTTTTTTCTGCATAGTTCAGCTTTGATACTTTCTGGGAAATAGCATCAAATATCTCCCTGGAAAGAGATAAAAGGTTTTCCTCCTTTCTCTTTTCAGGCAGGTGTCTTATCAAGTAGGGGAGGACACTGGCTGACAGAATTCACTATTTTTGTCCCTTTTTGCCCTTGTTTTTTTAGGACTCTTGTCTCTTGAACCTTACCCAGTCTTGGCTTATCCTCCAGTTTTTACCCTGTTCTTCCAGGAAGTAACAGTCTATTATGAAATGTTCATAGCCTAGCTGTGGACTTGATCTGTGAGTTCCTAACAGCTAAACATTGTTGAGTTTACCATCTTAATACTTTTGGATCAGAATCTCAGAGTATAAAAGGATAGTCAGCCCTAGTAGGAGGTATAATAAGTTGTGGTAGAGACAAATATTTGCTGGAAATAAAGTGCTTCCCTGTAAAAACAGTATGTATTTGTAAGGCTCAAAGAGAAAGAGGCTTCCCCCCGCCCCACTTTGATGCTTATTAGTATCTGTAAAAGATGATGTGAAAGGTGACATCATTTCTCCTAGTCACTCTGATTTTTCCTCTTAGGCCCAGATTTCCAAAATTTGTTTAGGAAAAAGGCAGGTCAAAGTTGATATTGCTGCTTCCTTACTGGTGGTCAGATGATACAAAAAGCAGCCTTTCTTGGGGCACCGACTCATTCGATTAGTGTCCGACTCTTAATCTCGGCTCAGGTCTTGATCTCAGGATTGTGAGATCGAGCCCTACGCCGGGTTCCTTGCTGGGTGTGGAGCCTGCTTAAAAAAAAACACCAAAAACCAAAAGAAAAAACCCGAAAAGCCCCTCACCAAAACTACCTTCCTGGAAACTGCATTCCTAAAGGACTCAATTTAGGAAATGCGTTGTTAAATATTAATTAAAATGCAGAGAAGATACGTATTTGTATATGAAAATTATAAGTTTTCTGAAACCCAAAGGTTATTTGTAAGGAATGCCAGATATAAATATGCCTCTAATGAACTCGGCCTGGGCCAGGACCTCTGTTTGTGGCCACCATCATTGTATGTAGACAGGAAGGAGTGCGCTTTCCCAAAAGGTGACACACAATTGCAGTTGAGTCTTTCCTCAGGGTACCCCCCTCCCGCTTCTCCCCTAAATGGTTCTAGCATTACGGGGTTGGTTTCTAATCTTATTCTGCTGTGCAAGCTGCAAGAATGTCAGGTTTTTCTGACTCTTCCTCTGCCTCCTGATTACCCTTTTAAGCAGTGCTGATTGCAGGAAATTGCTGTGGTGCAAGGCGTGTGTCACAACACGCAGTGATTAAAGCCCTCAAGTGTCATTCACCGCCTGATTGAAGTAATCACACGGAGGGGAAGAGCAGATGAAAAACCTGCTAAATGTGCAGAGGAGGGCTGCTTCTCATCGTGTGGTTTAAGGATTTTGAGTTAAAGAATCAAAATTCGTGTGAACAAGACTTGTGTTTTCAGTCATTTTGTTTCATTCTGAGTCCTCAATACTAAGCAGGATCGCGGTCTAGGGACATTATTTTCCTAAGGAAAACAGCTTACTGCATTTTACCAAGTGCAGGGTCCCTTGCATACATGACTACAGGATAGTGGTTAAGCATATCAAGGGGGAAGATCCTAGAATATAAGTGGAACACACAGGAGAGACTAAAAGGGGGAAAGGCCTGAATAGCTCAGCCCTGCAAGACTGCTCCCCCCCCCCTCCAGACACCAATCACAAGTCCACAGATGGTCTCTTCTGACCCACCCTGGATGGGAAGTTCCAGCAACCCCCTCTCGGGGTTCAATTAATTTGCTAGAGTGGCTCAGAGAACTTAGAGAAAAATTGACTTAAATTTACCAGCTTATTAGGGAGGATATTATAAAGGATATAAGTGAAGAGCCAGTTGGAAGAAATGCACAGGGCAAGCTTCGTGGGATGGAGCTCAGAACTCCAGTTCTTTCCAGGAGCACCACAATCCTTGCACTTCTAGGTGTTCATCAACCCTAAGTTCTCTGAACCCTGTCCTTTTGGGTTTGTATGGAGGCTTCATTACACAGGCAGATTGGTGAAATCATTGGCCATTTGTGATTGAACTCTATTGCCAGCCCCTGTCTCCTCCTCTGAGGTCAAAAGGGTGGAACTGAAAATTCTAACCCCCCAGGCACATGGTTGGATCCCCTGGCCATCAGTCCAGACCCTTAGGCTACGTAGGGGCTTTCCCCAATTCTCCTAATTAACAGAAGACTCCCTTATTGCTCTTCGATTAGGAAATTCCAAAGGTTTTAGGAGCCCTTTGCCAGAAATGGGGATGAAGCCCAAAAACAAATTGCTTATTAGAAATCACAGTATCACCTCTAAGCTATTTAAATTACCTGGTTGTTCTGGAAAAGTGACCAATCCCATTCTCTTCCCATCTTCTGCTCTTGGGCTTCCCCTGTGTGGCAGAGCCCCAGGAGCTGAGTTCCCATTGTGGACTCATTCACTTGGGGCATCAGACTATCAACATTACCTGAACAAAGAACATTTTGAGTCAAGTGTTGTGAAAGGTGTTGAAGGCATCCGCTAATGATTCCTTATCTGTTTGTTCACTCAGGTACGGAGCCCTGGTATTTCTATTTGATTAATGGATTTCTTAATTTTAACGTAGCCTTTGCTTTGGCTCTCCTAGTCTTACCACTGACTTCTCTCATGGAATACTTACTGCAGAGATTTCATGGTGAGTGGTGTAAGGGATGATAGGTTTTGGGGGAGGAAGAAGCAAATAACAGTGTATACCGAGAAGTGAAAATGATTCTTCTTCTGTTCTCCATTTTCTTCCTACGGAGATGGTTGGCTTATTGAAATGTCAATCTGTACTTATAAATTTATGTGAAGATTTGGTTAATAATTGCAAGTTAAACTGACAAAGGGAGGAACTTTATATCCTTTTAGGTGGGGGGAAATGAGTATAGCATACAGAACCACCCAGGGAGGCAAAAACAGTTCCAGAATCTCAGGAGTCTTGTGTTTTGTTTTTTTTTTTTTTTAAAGTACATGTTGGCATGGAAGATGGCTTAAGATAATAAGTGATAGAGGTAAACGTTCTTTGGGGAATTATTTCAACCAAAAATTTGAAAACTAAACCATACAGGGATTTCCCTCACGTTTGATACTGAAGTGAGAGAAGCTTTGGACTTCCTAAGAAACATTATGCTTCCCTTTGTTCCGTTTTGCTTCTGTGTTTGCCTTATCGTGGAAGGCTTGGTTTGTCATTTATTTTGCTTGCTCTGACTCTCTCTAGTGCACAGCCAGTGTTTTCTCAAGTTGTCATGGATTTGGGCATCTAGTGCCCATGTTTCTTTTATGGAAGACAGATTTGAGCAGAAATTCATATGAGCTTTGGAAAGAGATTTAATTTCAGACTCTTCAGTCTGATTTGGATGCCATATGATCTCCCCATCCCACCCCTCATTCTGCTTTTCTACTATTAATGGTTTATAAGAGTTCACTGTGCTATACTATTCGAATATGAAAGCAGTCATCGATCACTTTTGTTTTAACATGATCATAATGCCATTATCCTAACAAAATCAATAGTAATTCCTTAAACGCTAATACCCAGTTGATATTCAGGTTTCCTACATTGTCTGAAAAACAGCTTTTTATAGTTAGTTGTTTTTTTTAAAGAATCTGAAAGGGGTCTATACTGAATTTAGTGTTAAATTTCTTAAGCTTTATATGAGGTTCTGCCCCCTCTTCTTTTTTCTCCTGAAGATTTCTAAAGAAATCAGGTCATTCATCTTGCAAAGTATCCCACATTTGGATTCAGCTCTTTGTCACCTGGAGGTGTTAACTGATGCCTTCATTCCTTGTATTTCCTAAGGATCACTGTCTTTTGTGAAAAGTAACTTTTTTAACTGTAAAAATACTTAATGCTTGTGGAGAATTTGGAAATACTTGTGATGTAAGTGTAAAAACAGCATATTAAGCTGTTCTCTACAGTATGAATCCAATTTTGGTTTAAAAATATGTAATTTACACACATGGCCACCTAGTAAGAAAATGCTGTTTTTTTCTTTATACTTTCTGTGTATTTTATGGTAGAAAAAATACCCTTAAAGGAAAGAAACAAACAAACAAAAAACAACAAAGAATCAGGAAAGAAATTGGCTATTCCATCAAGTAGTACAACTATAGTTCTGATTTTGTACATTTTATGGAGGACATTGAAAAATTTTAGGCCATATTTTATTTTTTTTAATGTTTAAATATTTAGTAATTTCTACCCTCAATGTGAAACTTGAACTCACAACCCCAAGATCAAGAGTTCCATGCTTTTCTGACTGAACCAGCCAGGTGCCCCAGGCCATATTTTAAAAGTGTATTTGTCTAAAAAAATGCATTTGTTAGCCTTTTAAGTTACAGGAAAAAAAAATTTCATTTTCTTATAATTAAGAAAACTCCAACCTAAAAAATTTCCTGGGAAAGTTTAAGTCCTAAATTATTGCCTAAGATCTCATGGCAAAATCTTAGAGTAGAAAGTTTAAAGGATAAGCTTGGTATTTCAGTTCCAGAATTTTCATCCCTAAAGAGTTTCTAGAGAATTCCAGATAACTTAGGAACAACAAGATGGATATCAGTGACAGTCCTGAGCTGCTCTTCTAAACTTGCTCATTGTAGACATAATGAACACCAGGGGGCGCTGTCTACCTACCCTTTGCCAGTGATTTCTAGGCGCTGCTGATTATCACTAATTGGAGCACAGTGGGGGAAGCCTTCCTGGTGGGTTGCAGGTTTATCACTCAGTGTTCATATACCTAACCATGGGAACTTTCCAGCAGGTGCTTGGGTCTCAGCGCTCATTAAATTCCTTTAATTCTTTCACATGCTTCAAGTATATTTGGGTTCCAATTTTGGGATTCAGAGTGGATGGGTATTGCAAAAGAGGAGAGAAAACGTCATGCGTGTACTTCTTTTAAGAGTGTTTTTATATTTGCATTAAGACAAACTCTTGTGGCTTGGCGAAAGCCAGTAATGGGGGCTTGAGAATCCAGCTTTTTCTTTCCTTTGAGCTATAACTACTTGAACAGACTGATTGGTATACAAGAAAGGAGATCGCAGTATTAAACAGAACATGGGAATTAAAACCCAAGAAAGGAGTTTACATTATGCTTTTGGTTAATCTCAGGAACCTTTAATCTTAGTGGCAGGACTCACTGGAGAGAGAAGGCTTTCTCCATCCAGTGTAGAAATTATTAAGCTCTGTTACCCATTTGCTTGACTTTCATTTGTGTTCTAGCCAAATCCAATATTGTGCCTCCTGTTAGATAGTGGCTGTCTTGGGGAAGCTCAGGAGTATACACCTCTTTCTACTTAACCCCTTTACTACGTCAGAGGAAGTGTGACTACAAGAGCCGAAACATTTTAGGGGGTGCCCTAGGGCGTATTCCTGTTTGTGATCAAGAGAACATTGAAACCAAATGTGTTGTTTCGTTCTAATATGGTGAAAGGTGGATATTTTTCTGTGTCTTACAGTTCAGAATTTAGGCCACCCATATTGGCTTACCTTGGCTCCAATGTATATTTGGTTTATAATTTTCTTCATCCAGCCTCACAAAGAGGAGAGATTTCTTTTCCCTGTATATCCACTTATATGTCTCTGTGGTGCTGTGGCCCTCTCTGCACTTCAGGTGAGTTTCAGGGAAATGGATGTCTGCTTCATTCCATTTCACTTTTTAAATTGGTCATAAAGCTTAAAGGCAAATTATGGCATGCTTCTCCCAAGATGTTTTATCCATGCATTAAACCGGATACAGATCACGTTATTAAAGCTTGATGTATTGGTGGCTTGACTGTTGATCATACTCTTGAGCTGGTTACATATTTGCATTGTTAATTTGTGTGTTAATTTCTTTCTGTTGCCAACAAGAATCCAGTTGCTGTTAAAGGAATTTTACTAAGTCATTGTATAGGCCACCCACAGGATGGTGGTATCACCGCAGAGCTACTGGAATGTCTGTTCTTCAACTCCAAGATCAGATGAAAACTTACTCAAGTGTTTGGGATAACACCAGGCATTTAGCAATATGGGATGCTTTGTGATCCTGGCTTAAAACCTGTCCAGGTCAATTCCTTGTCAGAACTAATCTTGAATATCTTTCTGTGGCCTCAGAAGCCCCAAGGCTCTTTTTTGACCTCTGCTACCATTTGCAACTGGCAGTGAAGAGTAATTAGGGTGACAGTTATTTCTGCCCCTTTAACAGATAGATAGAGGTATAATTTACCCATGTAAAAAGTGTAAAATTGAATCATTTTTAGTATATTCACAGATATGCATAACCAACACCACAGTGAACTTTAGAACATTTTTATCACCTCAAAAGCTCTGTACCCATTAGCTGTCATCCCTGCCCCCCCTTCATATCTCCCGTGCCATAAGCAACTACTAATCTATTTTCTGTTTCTGTATATTTGCCCATTCTAGGCCTTCCATGTAAATGGAATCCTAAAAGTCTTCTGTGACTGGCTTCTTTCATTCAGCAGTATGTTTTTAAGACCTATCCATGTTAGGATGGTAGTTTAAAAAAATTTAAATTATAAAAGTAATTGAACTTTATTGCACATAATTTTTCATTTACTACTTCTTAAAAAAATATTTATTTATTTGACAGAGATCACAAGTAGGCAGAGAGGCAGGCAGTGAAAGAGGGGGAAGCAGGCTCCCTGCTGAGCAGAGAGCCCGATGCGGGGCTTGATCCCAGGACCCTGGGATCATGATCTGAGCCGAAGGCAGAGGCTTTAACCCACTGAGCCACCCAGGCGCCCCTCATTTATACTTTTTAAAAAGATTTATTTATTTGAGAGAGGGAGAGTGTGTGAGAGTAAGAGCCTGTGGGGCATGGGGCAGGGAGCAGAGGGAGAGGGAGAGAGAAACCCAAACAGACTCCTTGCTGAGTGTGGACCCCAATGTGCGGCTTGCTTCCACAACCCTGAGATTATGACCTGAGCCGAAACCAAGTCAGATGCTCAACCAAGTGCATCACCCAGGCACCCCACTCTTAGTACATTTTAAATTAGCCCTACTATCCTAACAAAACCACTTTCCTTCCAGCATTTTTATCTATCATATACCAAACTTTATTAGGGTTGTAATCTAAATGTACATATAACTTTATATCCCTTTTAATAAAACTACATCACATGATTTTCATCTATACCCATCTTTTGAATAAGCGTATATTCTAAATTTGGTATAAAACATTATTGTGTAATATATGTAATATACTGAATTTGACACATGTAATGATGAGATAAAACTTATGGTAGGTTTAGGATGCTTCTTTATTTCAGTATTATAAACAAACAATGCTAGGATGGATATCTTTCTTTAGGTATTTGGATTGTTTCCCTAGGACAGATTGCCCCAAATATGAAGGAGTTTAAACAACCCATGGCACTAACAAGTAAATATTTGCAAAGTTTCACTTCCCCAAAGTTGAGGTCTAGTCTCGGAAGGATAGGAGGAGGTCAATCTAACGGGAAGGCGCTCAAAGATTGTAGAATTGATGCATGTATGTGTATATTGTAATAATATTCCTCTAGTTTGTAAAGCAATTTAGCAGATAATTAACAGCCTTTTCCTGATGGTCTGTGAGAGGACTCCTTTTTTTCTTGTTTGGTCAAGAGACATTCTGTTGATACTAAAAACTGATGAAAACTTCTGAATGAGAAAAGTAAAGATGAAATACTCGTTATATCAAAATAGAGACACTTCATATATCAAAGCAAATTGCCGAAAAGCACTTTTGTTGGTTTATTTATTTATTTATTAAAAACAATTTTTTTTTTAGGCCGGGTCCACGCCTAGCACAGGGCTTGTACTCCTCATCCTGAGATCAAGAGTCACGTGCTCCACTGACTGAGCCAGCTGGGTGCTCCGGCACTTTTGTTTGAATATTAAAAAAAAATAATAAATTATTAGGACCTTAAGCACTGGAGAGGTTTCCACATATTTATCCTATGAAGCGGGTGAGAATTCCTCTGGAGGGACTGACCAGTAGATAGTCTTGACAGAGTTTGTTTTCATCTTAGAACTCAGAGTGGGTACCTCACTGAGTGTTTGCAAATGCTCAGACCCTTCACAGAATGTCTGCTGCTGCTTCCTCCCTCTTGGTGTTAGGATGTTTTACAGCCGTGTTATGTATATTCTGCAAGTTCTTTTTTTTTTTTTTTTTTCCCTCCTTCAATACAGTTTTCTTTCCTTCTAGAAATGCTACCACTTCGTGTTTCAGCGATACCGCCTGGAGCATTACACGGTGACGTCAAACTGGCTGGCCTTGGGAACACTCCTTCTGTTCGGGCTCTTGTCCTTCTCTCGCTCTGTGGCGCTGTTCAAAGGTAGATGCACAGAGAACATCTTACCCCAACTCACGAGGCACTTCATGTTGGGTTTTGATGGACACGTGGTGAACACAGTTCAGCTTCGGCCGAGAGAAGGACTGTACTCTAAGGAGAACCCGTGGACTTAATATAGTGACGGGGATATGACTTCTCTACCTTAAGATCAAAGAGAAGACTGAGAATTCTAGAAGGAATTTGTGACTGACTATAACTTTTTTTTTTTTAAAGATTTTATTTATTTATTTGTCAGAGCGAGAGAGAGAGAGAGAGAGCGAGCACAGGCAGACAGAATGGCAGGCAGGGGCAGAGGGAGAAGCAGGCTCCCTGCCAAGCAAGGAGTCTGATGTGGGACTCAATCCTAGGACGCTGGGATCATGACCTGGGCCGAAGGCAGCTGCTCAACCAACTGAGCCACCCAGGTGCCCCTATAACTTTTTTTTTTTTTTATTTTTTTAAATTTTTATTTATTTTTTTTTTAAAGATTTTATTTATTTATTTGACAGCTCACAAGCAGGCAGAGAGGCAGGAGAGAGAGAGGAGGAAGCAGGCTCCCTGCCGAGCAGAGAGCGATGCGGGGCTTGATCCCAGGACTCTGAGATCATGACCCGAGCCGAAGGCAGCGGCTTAACCCACTGAGCCACCCAGGCGCCCCTATAACTTTTTTTTTTTATTCTTGGTTTTTTTTTTGTGGTTGTTGCTATTGTTGGGTTTTTAAAGGATGCTTTTTCATTCTGAAGGCTGAATTAAGGAAGCTTTGAACATAGGAAACAAATTTGGGGCCCAAGTCCTATGATTATATTCTTCCTGTAATCATTATTTGGATCCAGAGGATTAAAATGTGCTCAAAGAATAGAAGTTAAAAAGGCAGAAGGGTGTAGAGAAGGGCAAGAAAGCAAAGCTATTTGGTAGAACAGGGTCTCTGCTGTGATCATCTTACGAGCTGTAGAGACACTGTGCACCAGTGGGGCAGGCTTCCTTCTACGTTTGCTGGGAACCTTCACACTCTTCCATTATGCACGAGTTATAGGGGACATTCACAGGCATTATGATTCAATGTCAGCCTCTCATCTTTGATTTCACAAACCTCTCTCCCTTCCAGGGTATCACGGACCCCTTGATCTGTATCCAGAATTTTACCGAATTGCCACAGACCCAGCCATCCACACTGTCCCAGAAGGCAGGACCGTGAATGTCTGTGTAGGAAAGGAGTGGTATCGCTTTCCCAGTAGCTTCCTTCTGCCTGATAAGTAAGTTTTCCTTTAATTCCCAGAGTTTTATTTTTTATTTTTCTATTATTTATTTATGTATTTATTTGTTTTTTAAAGATTTTATTTGACAGCGAGAGAGGGAACACAAGCAGGGAGAGTGGGAGAGGAAGAAGCAGGTTCCCCAGTGAGCAGGGACCCCCACATGGGGCTCGAGCCCAGGACACTGGGATCATGACTGGAGCTGAAGGCAGATGCTCAACAACTGAGCCACCCAGGCATCCCCTAATTCCCAGCGTTTTAAATCAGGGAGTAAAAATAGCAGTTCTGTGGCAGTGTCTCCTTAATTTTTCTTCCATGTTTGGATTTTTCACAAAAAGTTGTTGAATAACTGACCATTTCAGAGTTTTTCAGAGCTGTGAGATCTGCAATGTGCAACCACAGCCCATGTCCAGTAGACTGGGTGCCGTGTGTGGCCACGCACCCACTCTACCTGGAACCATGGAGGTCCAGGGACTTCTAAAAACACTTGAGGCCCTAGGCTTCTAGTGGCTCTTATTGAGGATCCATATGTAAATTTCAGTAATCATCTGGTATTAATTCACTTCCAGAAGTGGTCTAGAAACTAGTTGGAAGAGTGTTTTTAGAGAAGAAATGTTTGTCATCCAGCAATAGTGAAAGTTCTTTACCAGCATGTGGATGCTGGGGAAAGCTGTGATTAAGGTAATTGTGCCACTTGCCTTCGTGCTCTCTGTTGTTGGATGATAGCACAGGCTCTGGAGTTCCGTATGTTTGCTTAATTCGGATGGAGAAGGTCCTATTTAGGGAAAAGGGAAGTCGGGTTAAGATGAGTCATGTTGTTCCATTTGGGGATTGGCTTCAGCAGCTTAGCTGGTGGGGGTATCTTGGGTTGACTGAAGATCCCGTGTCAGTCATTAATCATTAAATTAAAATGTTGGGTTTTCTTTTTTTGAAGTATTAACTAACATTAGCCTTTGCCTTTTGCCTTTGCAATAGTTTCATAACTAAAGATACTTGTGAGAATTACTCAGGGACAAAGTACTTCTCCCATAGTGTGTTCTTGCATTTCCCTTTTTTCCTACCTGATGAATTTGCTTTAATTTTGTTAAGTCCTTCTATCATGTGATTACTGGTGATAAATGGGGATGCTTCTCTGGTAGTTTGATGGAAGGACCGTTTGGTTGCAAATTTTAGTGCTAAGAGTTGGCAGAATGGGTTGAGAATCCCTCTCGAAAATTTCCCAACGATGTTGGAATCAATCATGACCTTTGCCTCCGTGTTCCCTGGTGGAGGTTTTAGCAGAAATACTTTTTTTCTCCAAGCGAGATGTTTTTCACATGAATTTTTTTTTTTTTTTGGCTTGTTTATTTCAAGTACATTTAGCAGTATGGGCCCCCTGTGTTTTTCTTACTCTCCCTTATTTGTGTTTCTGACAGTTGGCAGCTTCAGTTCATTCCATCGGAGTTCAGGGGTCAGTTACCAAAACCTTTTGCCGAGGGACCACTGGCCACCCGAATTGTTCCTACTGACATGAATGACCAGAACCTGGAGGAGCCATCCAGATACGTAAGGACAACCCTTTCCTTTTACCACTTGAAAGAAAGTTCTAACCCTACAATCTGTTGGCATGCACTTTGGAAGCTCTAGTGAAATGGGAATTTCTTAGAGAGTGATTTCTTTAGGGTAAGGGATATAACAGCTTTCGTTGAGAAAGATAGTAATTTAAAAAAAATTTTATCTTAAAATTTCCTTTTATTTTCTATGTGAAACACACAGTTCAATGTATTTTCCAAGCTGGTCTGGAAATTTTCTTACGTTGAATTCGAATCATTTTGAAACACATTCTGAAACTCGTATCATTCCCTGGCTCATTAAAATATTTGGTGGGGAACTTTCAAGTTCTCAGTAGACCTTTGACCTAATTATCAGTGTGTTCCGGTTTGAGCAAATGGACGTCAGTGATGGAGGCTGCTTTCCTGGTGAGTGCGTGGTGCAGTCTGTGTCAGGGTCGTGCTCTTCCACCCAGTCAGCTTTATGTACCCCAGGATCCCGTGTGGTTTTATTTCAGTTCCTTCGAAAGATGACACTTGCGCCATTTGATACTTATAAAATCTTTGATTGTCCAAAAGGTGAGCGCAGTAAAGATACTGTTCCTGGTTCCCAGAGACCGTAGATGAGTATTTTATAAAGTTATTAGCACTTTTTTTGGCATCCTGTCTTTTAAAGAAACATTTAACGGTTTAGATGTCAAACCCATCTTGGGTAGGTGTTCCCATATACTTCCTCCATGAAATGGGATATGGTATTGTGAAGTGCTTCTCCGGCCACACGTGGCCTTTTGTCTCCCACATGGAGACCCCCGGGGCTTATGAGGGGGAGTCTTACTGTGGGAGTTTAAAACATAAGCCATGGAAAGGGCCATTGTCGGATACATACTTGGCCTGGCCCCCTGCGAAGGTAAAATCTGTGTTCCATCAAGGGGTTTATGTGAGAGCTTTTTTCCTAACTTTAGCTTCTGATTCCTGGAGCATTGAAAATACCCCAGGATGGGGTAAACTGTTGTTGGTCATTTTTGTTTTAGCTGCAGATACTCTTCTGACAGCAGGCCTTTTTGGGGATCACCGTGAGTACACTGGAGAGTCAGACGGGTAGGCGTGCACACTGTGACGGGGAGGGAGACACACAAACTGACAGTGGTGTTGTCATAGCTGTGTTTTAGGAAGAAGTAGCATGGAGTAGTAAAAAGGAGCATGGACTTTGAGTCAGGTAGGCCTGTGTCCAAGTCCTGGTTCCGGTGCTTACTTTGGTGATCTTGGGCAAATGAGTTAACTCTTTTTTTTTTTTTTTTAAAGATTTTATTTATTTATTTGTTAGAGAGAGAGAGAGCATGAGCACAGGCAGACAGAGTGGTAGGCAGAGGCAGAGGGAGAAACAGGCTCCCTGCCGAGCAAGGAGCCCGATGTGGGACTCGATCCCAGGACGCTGGGATCATGACCTGAGCCGAAGGCAGCTGCTTAACCAACTGAGCCACCCAGGCGTCCCAAGTTAACTCTTTATTTAACTAATTTGTTTCTATCTGTAAAATGGGAATAATGGCACATTTGGAAGATTATAATGAGCTTAGATATTCTATCATATCTATCCTGTCATATCGTATTAGCATAGTATGTACGTAGATTTTCCCACAAATGTTCTTCATCTGATAATGCTATATCAGATGGATTGGAGGTCAAGAAACCTTAAGAGGATTTATAATCTGCTTGAATCTATCTCTCCTTCCTTCCTTTTCTTGTTTTCCAGCCTCATTTTTGTCTGCTCACACTCATCATTGCCCTTTCCATCCCAGTGACTTTGCTTATCTTAATGACCAACTGTGCCTAGACTACCCTTGCCTCCCTCCTTATGCCATCAGAACTCTCTTCCTGTCTGTAGCCTTTCCCACCTACCTAAGCTCATGGTGAGCTGTGCTCCTTTAAATGCCTGAAATTCTCAACTCTGCCTCTCAGTTAGCCATTCATTTTTGTCTTATGTTATTTACGTATTTCTGATATGTATGTCCTGGGCATACTGTGAAGAGAATGCCTGCAGCGCTTCTTCTGTATTCCCCATAGCATCTGGGATAGTGCAGTAAGTCTAGTCGTTCACCTTCATGTGCTTTCTGAGTGGGGAAATGTACACTTCTCGTCATTGGGACAGTGATCTTGAGAGAAAGCTGACTGTAAAATCTACAGTGGCTTTTTGCACATTTCTTAGGCTTTGGTCACTGGCTGTCTTTGGTTAGATCATATTTCCATACTCTCTGCTACCACACACTGTTCAGTTTAGTTAAGTGGCTCTATATTAGCTTTACCCAAAAGCAAAGATTTTTCAGAGTACCTATAGGAGTCACCAAAGTGCTATCTGATTAAAAACAAGTCTGATGTGTCTCCTCAGTGTGTAGTGTCCACCGTTGTGCTCACCCACCTTCCTGTGTTTGAGAGTTTTTGTGCAAAGTTCTTTCTGACATTTCCTGCCTGGTAGGACAAGTGCCCTCCCAATCCAGGCTGCTCACCTTTCACCCTTTGGCAAGTAAAAGAGACATTTGACAGCGTGCTGTGAATTCAGCGTGAACGATGATCAGGGATTCATTTCTTTCAGTCAGTTGGTTTTCTTCTGATGATAAAAGCAGTATAGGGGCGCCTGGGTGGCTCAGTGGGTTAAAGCCTCTGCCTTCGGCTCAGGTCATGGTCCCGGGGTCTTGGGATCGAGCCCCACATTGGGCTCTTTGCTCGGCGGGGAGCCTGCTTCCCTTCTTCTCTCTGCCTGCCTCTCTGCCTACTTGTGATCTCTGTCTGTCAAATAAATAAAATCTTAAAAAAAAAAAAAAGCAGTATACATTCATTGTATAAAATAATAAAGGCCTCTATAATTCTATTACCCAAATATTAAACTATGTTACCATCTTGGTGTTTTTGTCTCTTACTTGTTTCCCTTGCATATATATATATAAATATGTTAACAAAAATATCAGTCTTTTAAGAAACGGTGCCAGGACTATGACTGTAATAATAACTTGGCCTTGTGTGTAGGAGCACACACTAGACTACATCAGTGCTCTTTCCTTCCGGTATCAGTCCTAGTTCTTTCAAGAAGGCAAAGTCCTTATGTTCCCTCTCTTTGCGGAGCATGCTGGATGGCAGCAGTGTTTTTATCTGCCTGTTGGCTCTGAGTGACAGGTTTTAGCCAACTTCGGCTTCAGTGCTCAGTGATGAGATCTCTTTCTGGTCTGCTTGGAAATGAGGACACATTCATGACTTCCTTTAGTTCCCTCTCTTCCTTGACTTCTGAGTTGATCAAGAATTAAGAGTGTGTGTGGGCACCTGGGTGGCTCAGTGGGTTAAGCCTCTGCCTTCGGCTCAGGTCATGATCTCGGGGTCCTGGGCTGGAGCCCCACATCGGCTCTCTGTTCAGCGGGGAGCCTGCTTCCTGCTCTCTCTCTGCCTCTCACCCTGCTTGTGATCTCTCTCTCTCTGCCAAATAAATAAATAAAATCTTTAAAAAAAACAAACAACATTAAGAGTGTGTGTAAAGGCTCTGTGGTTTCTAAGGCACTGTTGGAACTACCTTGCAGAAATATTTTTTTTGTTCCATATTCTTTCATAGTTGATAGTGAGTAGCTTTTGCATATCTCATTAATGAATGGGTGGCATTTTTACAGAGATTTTTACAGATTTTCTGCCAAAATCAAGGTGTGAATTTAGAAGATACATTCAGTGTCTCCTCTTTATTAATTGGCAAATCCAGTTTTTTGTTGGCTCTTTCAAGGTGAGTGATCCCTTCTGACTCCCAACCTGATATCTGATGTGGGAGCTAGCGGAGTAACAAACACCTGTTCAGGAGGGAACTTAGACTTTTCTCTGATTTTAACTTAATGCGTAAGCAGACTTGTAGGAAGCTTGTCCATCTGCTCTCTTTGAAAAGATGAAGTGTTCATTGATGACTTTTCCCCAAACAGTGATACAGTCAGTTCTGCTCTAAGGTGACATAAAGTTACTTTATATAAAGTCATTGTGTGGTTAAAAAAAAAAAAAAAAAGAACCCAGAAGGCTTATGGGAAAAATGCGATTAGGGACACAGTACTCAAAAACATTGTCAGTGACACATAAAAAAAAGATACAAGCCTATAAAAATGGTCACATGGTTTCACATGTGTTGAGCAGCTGGAAGTACATAGGTATTAGAATAAAGCGGGAGTTTACCTTGAAACAGACCTGAGATATGCTTGTGGCAGGGGTGCTGGAAGGCTTATCTGCAACAGGACAGCAAGTCATCCTGCCCGAGTGGCCGGGTGTGGCTGGGAGCTCGGTGTGCCCCACAGGCACAGGGAGGCCGGGGAGTGTGCGTCTGTGCACCCGGCATGTTCCTACTCTGAGGAGCTCGGCCGAGTGCAGTCTGTTTGCTTCACCTTGTGTTTCTCGTGGATTAAATGACACATGAGCCAAAGCAGAAATGGAATTATGTTCAGACTGGTCCCTAATATATCCGTTGTGTTGGAACAAATTTGCATTTTCAGAACAAGTGTTACAACAGCATTGACTGTAAATTCAGTCAAAACTGACTTAATTTTGTTCTTAAGTTCCCTGCCTTTCCCATTTAACCAGTGGGAAGAATTACCAGTTTGGAAGGGAATTTAAGAAACCACAGAGTCCACGATACCTTCATTTTATGGTGAAGAAACTGAGGCTCAGAGGGGTTGTAACCTGACAGAGGTTAGTGCTAGTATAAGCAGCTTGGCTTCAGGATGCCCCCATATACTTTGCAAAGCTCCTCTTCCTTCCACAGCCACTTATAGTTTCTACCATATGGCATATCCCTTTAGTGTATATTTGCGGTCATGGTTAATCATTCTTTGATGTAACAAGGTTGAATAGACAGTAAATAGCTAAGCATTAATTTTCACAGAAGTTGCTTTACGTTTCTCGAGCTCAGTTATATGTGTGTATATATATATGCCAAGTATTTTAAGTAGCAGTTGTTTGTCTTTAGAAATAATGAGGGTCCTCACCGCCTTTTCTTCCTGTCCTCTC